AAATGCAAAACCATGAATAAGTCCGTGGGGGGAGTTACTGTATTTCCAAATTCACACTGAGAGTTAAGCCTTCTACATAAGAATTTGGGGGAAGATCAAAAACAGTCAGTTCATAAAACCTGTTCTGTGCAATAATAGCCCATTAAATGTCTATTTTTTTTTTCTTCTACTGCTTTGTCTATCCTCCCTTTCTGATTTTGCTTAGTATGCATATTATAAATATGATGAAGCCCGTCGATAATATCAAAAGGAAGGATGAAATTTTGTACCATAGAATGTAATCTGGAATGAATGAAGGCAAGAGAGAGAAAGTAAAGGCATTAAAGAACTAGAGGTGACTGTGGAGCACAATAATAATTATCATTATAGAAATGGGCTAGAGAATCAATAGGTGTTTGTAGACAATTTTTGATTGTTCAAGTTAAGAATACACAAGTAGAGTAGCTTTGACTCACAATCAACAGAACGTTTGCATAAAGTCTAGTGAATGTGAAGGGTTATCTCAGGGTCCTGAAAACAATACAAAGCATGTTTTGTGTTGTTGTTTGTCTGCTTGTTTTTTCTTAAATAAAAACATTAAAATTATACAAGATGATAAGATTTATGTTTGGGAAAAATTATTGAGAACTATGCATAAAAGTTTCATTGATTAGAAGAAATTTGAGGGTTACCTAGTGTCTTAAGTATTCTGAAATACTGGAAGTACAGGGAATGCATATTTTTATATGCAGTCTGATTTTAGACTATAATTGATTTAGGTCTATGTATTTTGAAATGACTGAAATAATATTTTAAATTCCTATGTACTATTTAAGTCTTGGGTTAAACTTTGCCACTTTCTCTTGTTACTCCTCTGTACCGCTCTTTATGTTTGGTAGGCCAGTGCTTTCTAGTTTCTTCAAACGTCTCTAACGTTGAATATTTTCTACTCCTGTACTTACTTTTGTGTTGGTATGTTTTTCTTATCCACCAAACTCTTGAGGTACTAAACATAAAGTAAGCAGAGGTTGGTAAAGCTCTTAAGGTACTAAACATAGTAGGTTTCTTGAACGAATGGATGAAAGAATGATTATCTCCTGTTTTAACATTTTATATTTGGTGTTTGTTTGTTCGCTTTATTTATGACAAACTCATGCTCTCAATACTGGGAGAGAAAAAAAATATTTTAAAAATTAGCACGAAACTTACTCATTTTGAGTTTTAACAACAACAACAAAAAAGATTTTGGCGTTATTATGAGAGTTCATGTTACCAAAAGTTAATCATTGTCAGTTACACTCCAAATGGATAGATAGTTATATAACCGAGCAGTAGGATATTTCTAGTATTGCACAGTAAAAATAATAATAATAATAATAATAACTAAGATATAAGGAAATAATTCTTGCTCAGAAAATATTCACTGAATGTTATTGATATGTCAATTACTATTAATAGGCACTATGTTTACAGCAGTGAATGAAAGAGAAAAAATAAAATCTCTGCTCTCATGAAGTTCAGACCCTAGTAAATACATTCGTCATTAATCAGTGGCTCTTCTAGTCATGTAAAGTTTTTGCATTTACCTATGAATTGATATAAATACAATTATATTGCACGTATTTTTCAATAGCCTATTTTGTGCTTAACAAAGTAATATTTACTTTTACCCATTGTGTTTCTATTTTTTTTTGTAATTGTAGTAATGATTTACAAGTTCAAGGTTCTTAGATTCCTGTTCTTATGAAAATGATAATTTAATATTTGTTTTTCCCTGTACATTTAAACCAATACTCCCTACTTCCCAGCAACTACCCATACTCTAAAGACAAAGACTATTATATCAAAACAGAATTTTTTAGCATATGCCTTAACCGAGGTCATTGTTCAAAAGCTAATTTTCAACAAAAATAAAACTTTTTATACTTTGTATAGCACAAGTTGTTGGAAGAAAGTGGAATATGCTCTACTTTCCAGTTTTCTAAAACTAATTTTCAGGAGGTAAAGACAACTTTGTATATTTAAAAAAAGTATGTGGCTTATGAAAACACATTATTTAGTTCCTTGTCCTAAAATCTACTTTTAATTTAAACGATATAGATTTGTTTTAAATTTAATATCTACCTTAGCTGGTTATTTTAAAAACTAATCTATAATGGAAGCTTATGTATTTTAAGCATCAGTTTCAAAGAATCAGCCAGCTTCACAGTCATAGGATACCCCAGGTACTCTCACATTGTGGCCTTTCATTTTCATGTAATGTGTTCTAGAAAAATGAATTTTGATATAGTCCCTGCCTTAGTCTTAGCCCTCTGTGACTTATACAATCAAGTAATTAACATAGTTTGAAATAAAATCATTCACTTCAGATTGTCATAGCACGTTTCTCCAAATCTTTGTGCCTGATTTGACCCATGGTGCCTGACCCTGTAAATGATTGCTTTACATAATACGTGGAGTACATCACACCACATGATGGTAGCGTAAATCTCCCTTTTAACAAGCCATGTCACAGTGGGAAGACCTTGTTTCACACATTAGAGGAAAAGAGACAGTTAGAATCATTAATCAGTGATGAGGGAAAGCACATGTGAAATGAGTTTGGGGTGGCTGAACATTTTTCCAATTACCAGACTATATTCTATTGGGAAAAGATGATAATAAACAGGAGGCTGAATATCCTTTACTTCACTCTTCTAGGAAAGAAAGACAATAATTATTAAAACAAAATGTTCACTGATTTGACACGTACTGCAGAAAATGATGTAATGTTCATAGAGTTTGGTAAGTTATTTCTCAAACAGAAAAATAAACTGCTCTTAAAAGAGCAAAAATATGATACACGCACATGCAAATTTCATGATGCAATCCTCTCCTTGCATTTTAATTTCTTCACAGAAATTAGTTAACTGCTATCCACCACAATTAGAGAGAAATGTACATTAAATGATTAAGTTGTTATAAAATTAGGAAATGAGAACATGAAGAAGATATTTTTAAGAAAAGAAACAGCTGAGGCTTATTTTATAAAAAAAAGTAGCGGTGCCATTTTGAAAACAAGAATCAGGCAGCTTCCTATTCCAAATGCTAATGAGTGCATGCACACTCAGGAGCATGTGCACATGCACGCACCCATGGACCCACTAAGGATCAGCCATCTACAATACGGATTTGTACTCTAGTTGCATTTGCCTGCTTCCTCCACGTTCATATGGATACATACAGTTAATGATTGCTACCCATAACCAGTATTATCCCCTTAGCATAATATTGTTTCATTTACAAAGAAGCAGACAAAGGGATAATTGTGGTGTAATCTGTAAAACTTTGTCTATTTTCTGTAATACTTACAATAAGAAATGTATATGTGTGTATATGTGTATGTGTGTGTGTGTGTATATGTGTGCATATGTACATATGCTAATTTTTCTGAAGGGAGTGGCGGAAGAGAAAACACACAAAGAACAATGTTAAAATATGTAAACTGCATGTTAAATAGTTTGTTTTTATTTTTTAATATCTCAAAGGAAAACAACACAAAATCTTAAAACCCTCACAAAGGTTTTACACATTAATGTTTCCATTTCTTAACATTTTCCACCAATTTTGAATTCTGATCCTTTGTGATAAAGTAATTTCTTCTAACTCCCTATCATCATGTGACTTTCCACCAACAGGTAATGTAACCCTAACTCTATTAATATAATTTGGTTTAATTCCATGATTATTTCTTCTTGATGCCATTTTTTAAAACAATTCTGAGTCTTCTGTCTGGTACAATGTCCTAAGAGGAGAAAAAGCCATTAGGCTTGGCCTGTGAGGCTCCAAGTCCTTTAAAATTATCTAAGCATCAGGCCTCACTTCCTCCATTAAGTGAAAATCCAGTAAATGTGGCTTTGCGCTTTTCATGTATGGTTTATTTTGACACCTCCATATCAATGTATCCTTCTCCTTCTCTCTCTCCTTTTTGACTCTTTCCTGCCTTTTCTTTCTCTCTCCTTCTTCCTCGCAGCCTTGAGTAATAAAGAGAAGCCACTTAAGTCGGTAGCTATTGATATGGGAACTTAATGCTACTACATAAGACCGTATTCCATGTCTATAAAGACCCTCCCACACAAACAAGCAAAACCCACTCAAAAATAGGGCAAATTTAAAAAAATAAAATAAAAGACCCTCGCACACACATACACACACACATGCACACACACAGGTATATTTACAGAAGACTAAAGAGCATACAGGCTATTGATGTTTATAGGAGATTTTAACAATTACATAATATTTTTCTGATACCTTAATCATAAGGAAAAATATCAATAAAAATGTGGAAAATGGGCCAGGTGCGGTGACTCATGCCTGTAATCTCAGCACTTTGGGAGGCCAAGGCAGGTGAATCACCTGAGGTCAGGAGTTCAAGACCAGCCTGGCCAACATGGTGAAACCCTGTCTCTACTAAAAATACAAAATAGTAGCTAGGTGTGGTGACGGGCACCTGTAATCCCAGCTACTTGGGAGGCTGAAGCAAGAGAATTGCTGGAACCTGGGAGGCGGAGATTGCAGTGAGATCACGCCACTGCATTCTAGCCTGGGTGACAGAGCGAGAGTCCATCTCAAAACAAACAAGCAAACAAACAAAGAAAACAAACAAACAAAAAAAACAACATGGAAAATGTAGCTTATGGGGCACAGAAATCAGATAAGAGACAAGGTAGAGCAGGGGAATGCTTTTTTAAAAATTCTAACCATTAAGTATGTGTTTAAGGACTTAATTTTTGCATTACATTGATTTAAAGATGAAAGTTAAAAAATCAAGTTAGGAGGTTATAGCTCTTGATAAGATGCCATAAACACATACCATTCTGTCTCTCCCACTACATGTAGTTATTCAACCTAGATTGAATGCTAGAAGCAACTGTTTTAAAACTGAGTAGTAGGAGGCAGATTGGGGAAGAAGGCCAGGGTTTGAATTTCCATTGAACTAGTTGTGCTTACCTTTCTGTCTCTCTCCTGCATCCCCACAGCCTGAGCTGAATCCCACAGCCTGAACAAAAAGGTGAGCACAGGCCTGCTGATAGCAAGAGTTACAGCAGAAGCTGTGGAAGACTGAATACTGGCCCCAAAGATATACAGGTCGTATTCTCTGAAACCTGTGAATGTTTTTTTATACGGACAAAGGAAATTTGCAGATGTTATTAAATCTTGAGATGGAGGGATTAACCTGAATTCACTGGATGGGCCCTAAATGTAATCCCAAGTGTCTTTAGAAGAGGGAAATAGAGAAAGATTCGACTGTAGAAGAAAATAAGGCATTGTGATTTGTGAAGCAGAGATTAGATTGGTAAAGCCATAGGCCAAGGAATGCTAGTGTTATCAGAAGGTGGAAGATGCAATGAATAAATTTTGCCCTGGACTTCCCAGGATGACCAACACTGCTCATACCTCAGTTTTGGTACATAAAACTTCTCTCAAACTTTTGGACTACAGAACTGTGAGAGAACACATTTCTGTTGTTTTAAACCACTAAGCTTAGGTAATTTTTTTTACAGCATGCTTTAAACTATTAGAAAAGTCATCTGGCCACATGGTTAAGTAATGGAACTCCTGATGCTCAGAGAAAGTGGATGGTCCCTCCCACTTTTCTGGTTAATATTTTCTTTGTTCTTTGTTAAACTATGCCTAAAGAAATTCTTTGGCAGTGACATCAGGGACACCAACAACATTCCCTTTCCCTGAGAGAAATCAAACTCTAAGGAAGAAAATATTTTTATTTCAGAGTTAAGGAGCTGTGACTACAAGGCTGTGGGTTGAATTCTCATTTTTATTTTTCTTTATCTTGCCACGTGCTGCTTTCTCCCAGATATGGGCACATTTGCAGGAAGTGCAACAGAATGAGACAAGTAAAGCCCAAGTTTCTGGCCAGAAGATAGAAGAGAGGAGCTCCAGAGAATAGAAATTAGTTGAGAGATTTTCCAGAGGGAGGGGCTTTAGAAAGTGAACACTTATTTATGATAAAAAACTAAACATAATAAAGTGTAGTAGAGGAAAAGTAGTAATGATTTCTTCTATGTTTTAAAGTATTTTTTGAATGAGTTGTGACTGATGTGCTTGTGATAATTTTTCAACAACATGTCATATTTTATTTAAAAGAAAAAGCATGTATTTATATTTATATTCTAACACATGCAATCTTATAAAAAGGTTTTGGTCATTAATTGTCCCTGAATATTTTACATGATCATTATGATCTGGCTTGTCTAGATTATTAAGCAATTTACCATATCTAAATCACTACTATTCATTTAATATCATTTCATCAAACTATAGTTAATAAACTAAGACACCAGATCAAAAACTTGAACTGTATTGGCATTGAATAAAGAAATATACACTAGCCTGGCCTATAACTAGACTTTAATTTTAAAGAAATAAGAAAAGGAAAAAAGGTGAAATATTAAAACAGAAATGAAAAACTTTACCTATAGTAACAAAGCCTTATCTATTCCTTGGACCATACCCAGAAGTAAGTTATATGAATAAGATAATAAAACATTCAGGTTCACAGATTAAAAAAGAACTGAAGGACTGAGAAATATCTAAGCACATTTAAAATTTCAGAAACAAGTGGGTTGTGTGTCAGAATTGTGTTCCTGAGTCAGTTGTTTTAGAGTTAAAACACACATCTCTTTTACAAACATTATTGTCCATGGGATTAGCTCCCCAAGCTACTCTACAAAATTCTTTTTTCCATAAGTTACCTGAAGAAAAATATGAATCACACAACTCTATGTATGCTGTGATTTCAGATTTTCCAGTCACTGTGCTTCATTACCCAGAGCTGGCATCTCACAATCTGTTTTTTCTCCACATGTACCATAGTCATACTAAATATTTAATCTAGTTTCACACTCTTCTACTTCGTCAACTTACCTTCAACCATTAAAAGTCTAAAAAAATCGAAAAGCACCTAAATAAATTCAAATAAACCTAAGTGCTTCACTCACACTTATTTGGTTATTTGTACAACGCTTGTACTTCTCCTTTAAAGAAACCTACTTTTGCTATCAAAATCATTTGGACTAAAACCCAGAACTTCTTTGGTTTGTTTGTCTGCTCAATTATTTCTTTTCCTTAATCTACTTTTGAAATTTCAGGGACATTAATTGCTACTTTTTTGGGGGTTGTCTTTTTATTTTATTTTACCTTATCTTTTTTGAAACAGAGTTTCACTGTTGTTGCCCAGGCTGGAATGCAATGACTCTGTCTTGGCTCACTGCAACCTCCGCCTCCCAGGTGCAAGCAATTCTCCTGTCTCAGCCTCAGCCTCCCTAGTAGCTGGGATTACAGGTGCTGCCACCATGCCCGGCATTTTTTTTTTTTTTTTTTTTTTTTTTAGTAGAGTTAGGGTCTCACCATGTTGGCCAGGCTGGTCTTGAATTCCTGACCTCAGGTGATCCACCCACCTTGGCTTCCCAAAGTGCTGGGATAGAAAAAAAAAAAAAAAAAAAAAAAAGAACAAACAAAAAAACACACAGTTTGGCTACTCTATCTTCATTATCAAATTTACCTAGTTTATATGGCTGCCAAGCTATACCATGTTTGCCAAGTTAATTCTTTCTCTAATTCTCTGCAGAGAAATGCTGTTTCTTAAAAATATCCAACCCATCCTTTTCATGACTAAATTTCCTTCCTACATTTCAGGTTGAAACTGCTTCAAACTGCAGCCATTATAATTGTAAATGTATTTGAAACCACATTCCTTCATCAGTTAAGTTTGAGTAAAGAAAGTACAAAGTGTTCTAAATATTTCAAACCGTAAGGGATAATATTTAAATTAGGTATTGGCAAGCCTATAGAAGAGCTGGTAGAATGAAAGACAGAGAATAATGCCACCGGCTTTCAGAAAATGAAGAAGCTGCCACCGATAGCCTCGGCCACTAATAGCACTAAAGTACATTTGTTAAATAAAATTTCTAGAATTAGGGAGAATTTGTGTCTACTTTCTGCTCTCGGGACTCCTATCCTTCTGGAAGACAATTATAGCTTCCAGTCTGTATATGTTATGTAAGTACCTCTTGATGGTGGAATCTAGCCTGGCATCATGGTGGTTAGAAATCTGAGAAAAATCATTCTCAGGTTTCCAGTCCACATGATATTAGGGAGAGTGCAGAAGTTGAAATTGCTGAAGCTTAATTGACCACTGGAAATCTGGCTCACCATTCTCTACTTTTGCCAGCAGTTGCAGTGGAAGATGTAGCTTTGTCGGGGCGAGAAATAAGACTCCATATGTTCTTTGTATCGCATCCATTTCTGTGCTCTCTAGAGACATTTTTCTATCAATTATCCCTTCTGTTACCAATATCTTCAAAATATTTCTGTTTGCTGAATCCCATCAGCATTTAAACAAATTCAGTTTTTCTCTCACCTTAGAGAAAAAATTACTAATAAAATTTTATACATCCCATGAACTCAGTCTAATTAACATATAAGTTTTCTCTTTTGAAGTCAAACAAAATGTTTAATATTTCTTATGTAATTTCTCTAAAAGTAAGTAATATCTATACTTATATTACAAATAGTTTTTACCATTTCAATATACTGAATGCTTTTAATAGTGAAAAAAGTTTGGATGCTTTAAGCATATATGCTGATAATTATATTATAGTTTTCAATAATGTCCTATAAGTTGCTGTGATGAAAATTAAATCAGGGCTAATTAAGTAAGTTTTATTTATCCTGTGGGATATTGAAGAAAATTATCACAGTTAAAGTGTGGATAAAGTAGCTCCATATTTTGTTATAGAGGAAAGTTTAAGCTACAACCTCTTAAATCCAAATAGCTGGAATGATTATGTCTGAGGAAGTGTCATGTCAGATCTTCTAGAAGCACAGCCATCTGTCCTAAGTCCTCACTATACTGCAGACACCGATTATACATTAGAGATCTCTTATTCTTATCAGTGTATCTCCTTAGTGTCAACATTTTTCAGTGAACAAACAATCTGGTACTTATGATTATGCACCACATTTATGATTTAAAAATATCCAGCCGAGTGCAGTGCGGTGGCTCACGCCTGTAACCCCAGCACATTGGGAGGCTAAGGCGGGTGGATCACGAGGTCAAGAGATTGAGACCATCCTGGCCAACATGGTGACATCCTGTCTCTACTAAAAATACAAAAATTAGCTGGGCGTAGTGGCATCTGTAGTCCCAGCAACTCGGGAGGCTGAGGCAGGCGAATCACTTGAACCCAGGAAGCAGAGATTGCTGTAAGCCAAGATTGAGCCACTGCACTCCAGCCTGGTGACACAGTGAGACTCCGTCTCAAAAAAAAAAAAAAAAAAAAAAAAATCCACCCATTGCACTAAGGCTACCTAGGCCAACAGCTGAATTTAAGTCTGTTTTCTATTTTCAAACTTAAGACTGTGAAAGTAGAATAGGAATCAGTTTCTTGGAAGTCTCCATGAATTATGCTGATAAGACCTTAGACCAACTGTGAAATTTATTCTGTACTTCTGAAATAGCTAAGAATACAAAATACTATGTAGTTTTATTAAAAAACAAAAAAAATTGGAATTTACTTTTCACTTACATAATTATAATGTTAATGTCTTATTGTAATGATAAAAATAAAATATGAAATTAGGATCAAAATAAAAGATGAATTGCCACCACTGGCTGTCAATAGTTAGTGAAAATATATTGTACCAATAGAATAGTATTGGTATATGTTATACCAAAACTCTGAATCTGAGAATTTCTCATTCAACAATTGCTCATTTACTAGGCAATGAACGAGGACCTAGAAAAATAAAAAAATACATATGTTAAGAGCAGTTATCATCTTTTGTAAGAGTGACATTTACAGTGTATTATAATAATCAAGGTTCTCCAGAGACGTAGAACCAATGGAGTGTGTGTGTGTGTGTGTGTGTGTGTGTGTGTGTGTGTGTGAGAGAGAGACAGAGAGAGAGAGAGAGAGAGAGAAAGACAGAGAGAAAGAAATAAGGAAGGAAAGAAAGAGAGAAAGAAGGAAAGAAAGAGAGAGAGAAAGGAAGGAAGGAAGGAAGGAAGGAAGGAAGGAAGGAAGGAAGGAAGGAAGGAAGGAAGGAAGGAAAGGAAGGAAAGAAAAGGAAGAACTTATTATAAGAAAAGAGCTCCTGTGATTATGAAGGCTGACAATCTGAGTATTTCCAAGTTGAGTTAAAATATTGGAGGCACACACAGAAGAACCAATGGTGCAGTTCCTGTTTGAGTCCCAAAACTTGAGAACCAGGAGAGCTGATGGTGCAATTCCAGTTTAACAACCAGCAGGATGAAGACCC